GATGCTTGGCCAGAATTACGGACTTCACAGTCGGGGAGTTTAGGGTTTTAGGGTTCTGGGGTTTGAGGGCTTTAGGGCTTTAGGGCTTTAGGGCTTTGGAGTTTCGATTGCTGGGGGCTCAGGATTTGTTAGGATGAGTTTTGGTAGCCGATGTGCCTGAGGTGCAGAAGGAGGTTGCGGCAGTCCGCGACGATGTCGCTTCCCTAAAGACACAGGCAGGGGACAGCTTCGTGAACCCTAAACTTTGTCATAGTTGGGTCACATTGTACATGTTTAAGGGTACTTAAACCCGATAAGGAATAACAATTTAGATTTGTAATACTATCCCAACCATGAACTAGTAAACCCATACAACCGAAACCCTAAGCCTTAACTCCGTACAGGATTGGGCGTTGGTTTTTTTTAATACTCCGAGGTCTCAAGCGCGAATCCGGTTGTGTGGCTTTCGGGGCCTGATGGCTTTAGGGAAAAGAGAGGGTTTGGGGTTTCGGGCGGGTTTAGGGAGTCGGGTTTTTTGCAAGTTTTACATCCTCGACATCATGGGGCTGGGATCTGGAAGTTGAGATTCAGGGTGGAGCTCCGACGTTGCCGTGATTTTCGGCAAGGTCAACTGAAAGTCGGACGTTGTTGGGAATGTAGAGGTTCCCACAAAGCCGGGCCAAAACAAGCACCCTCCGAATCCCGGCAAATCCTGAGTCAGACTTTCGCGTTTTCGGCCCCCAAACGGCCCCAAACCCTTCAACGTTTTTCGGGTTCAGGGTTAACCCCAAACCCTAAACCTCGCGCCGCCGCAGATCGGTAAAGTCCTGGTCAAGCTGGAAGAACAGGCCAAGAGCCAAGAGCAGGAGCTGCTAGGGGTTCTTGGGAGGGGGTTTTTGTACACCCTGAACCCTAAACTATGGTTGAGGGTTTAGGGTTGACTTTTTTATCGGGGTGCCCTAATAAACCCTAAACCCTCCAAGCCCTAAACCTCAGAAACCCTACATAGTTGGCCGGTTTGTTTTTGCTGCCCCGAAAGAGACGACGGGTCTTGCGCTAGAGAGAGGGACCCTACTGTGGGGGAGCACAAAATGGCGAAGCTTTGATTCACTAGAAGTCTAGCGTGAAAACTCATCAAACCCTAAACCCTACTCCCTAACCCTCCCGCCGAAGTTCCCTTCATGGTTTTTCGGCTTGGAGGCTTCGAAGCCGCCAAGAAATAGTCCTTTGAAGTTTGGTTCTTGTTGTTGCTTACAAGGGTATTTCCCAAAATAGGGATACTCCTTTTACACCGCACATAGTGCACAATCCCCTGAATGGGGTCCCAAAAAAAGGGCACACCTATTTTGGGAAACCCCCGCAAAGTCGTCGTGGGATTTTGGGGAAGTAGGTGCCTTACATCCCCCTCTACAGCCTTTTACCGGATTAGATAGGTCTTCCCGAACTCCTAACTATGAGAGGTTGCTTCAGGGTTCAGGGTGTGGAGCTTGCTTTCCTGCTTTGCAGCAGGACAGACAAGATCGAAGTCGTGCGATGGCCAGAAGCTCAGACTGCGCTGTTTGCTCTGGGGCTTGCAATCCGAAACACTGGGAAACCCTAGCTGACAATCCAGTAGCTCTACATCCCGTCACAGATCTTCATTTCATGATACACCCAGAGAGCCGCCTAATAACCTTGAATCTTAAGGAATGTGCCTTCAATCTCATAAGGGTCCTCAATTGCTATCTAGTGGGAGCTGCCATAGAGTCTCCTGATGCGTGCATCTTGAGGAGCTGAGGAAAGTCTGGAGCTCCGGGTTTGGGGTTGACAAGCTCCGGGTTTGGGGTTTCGGGATTGGGGTTCTGGGGTTTTGGGGTTTTGAAAGGGGCGGGGGGGGGGGGGGGGGGGGGGGGGGGGGGTGCTTTCGGCCAGGCCATGATCGACGACATGAACGCAAGGGTTCAGTTCTTTGGAATGTCTGAATATTCATATGTATATACATATACATATACATGTATAGATGCATAGAATCCTTGTTTGCAGGCGTGGTGTCACGTCTGAGGCCTTTCGCCCCGAGTACCTTACATCCTTAAACGCCTATATACTCTCAACCCAAAAGCTTCACACCCAACCCCGACTCTCTATCCCTAAACCGCCGGATGGGCTTGCCTTTATGGCACCTTATGAGAGAAAGGTTTGGAGAAACCCTAAAGCCTAAACCCTAAACCCTAAACCCTAAACAAGGGGATCCCGAATGCGACAGCCAGCTGAAGGCCGACCTCCACGACAAGGTGAGTGTCCTGGTCACACAGAGCGCCGCTGTGCCGGCCATCAGCGGAAAGGCCCGAAGCCACTGAGGGGGTCGGTTTTTAGGGTTTAGGGTTTAGGGGTTAGGGTTTAGGGTTTAGGGTTTAGGGTTAGGGTGTTTTCAGGGTTGCGGGGCTGCATGGATTTAAGGGTTAGCTTGTTCTAGGGCTTTGGGGCTTCCAAAGGGAGGGACGGGGGGGGGCGGGGGGAGGGCCTATTTTTTTGGGTCTTTTTTTTTTTGGGCATTTTTTTTTTTTGGTCGATTTTCTTGGTTTTTCCTAAGAAAACCACCATTCCCTCCATATTTTTAAAGGATTTGATGCATTTTCGTGGTTTTTGGTACGAAAAACAGTAATTTCTCTGTGGTTTCATAGGAAAGCGTTATTTCTGGTACGTTTTAGAAGGAAAGAAGGAAAGAAAGGAAGGAAGGAAGGATGAAAGAAAGGAAGAAAACAAGGAAGGAAGGAAGGAAGGAAGGAAGGAAGAAAGGAGGGAAGGAAGAAAGGAAGGAAACAAGGAAGGAAGAAAGGAAGAAAGGAAGGAAGCAAGGAAGGAAGAAAGGAAACGTGCTTCGAAGCCCAAGAAACTAGTTGAAAAACATCGTGTGAGCATTGTGTTTGCAAATGGGGGGGGCTGCGCCCCCCCCAACCCCCCGCTCTTTTTTTTAAAGCCGTGCAGAGCGTGCTTCAACGCCCAAGAAACTTGTTGACACCCATCATGTGAGCAGGGTGTTTGCAAATGGGGGGGGGGGCTGCGCCCCCCCCAACCCCCCCCGCTTCTTTTAAGCCGTACCAAGCGTGCTTCAAAGCCCAAGAAACTAGTTGAAAAACATCGTGTGAGCATTGTGTTTGCAAATGGGGGGGGGGGGGGCTGCGCCCCCCGGTTTTTTTTAAGCCGTGCAGAGCGTGCTTCAAAGCCCAAGAAACTTGTTGACACCCATCATGTGAGCATGGTGTTTGCAAATGGGGGGGGCTGCGCCCCCCCCCCAACCCCCCCGCTTCTTTTAAGCCGTACCAAGCGTGCTTCAAAGACCAAGAAACTGGTTGAAAAACATCCTGTGAGCATTGTGTTTGCAAATGGGGGGGGCTGCGCCCCCCCCAACCCCCCCCGCTTTTTTTAAGCCGTGCAGAGCGCGCTTCAAAGCCCAAGAAACTTGTTGACACCCATCATGTGAGCAGGGTGTTTGCAAATGGGGGGGGGCTGCGACCCCCCCCAACCCCCCCCGCTTCTTTTAAGCCGTACCAAGCGTGCTTCCCAACCCAAGAAACTAGTTGAAAAACATCGTGTGAGCATTGCAAATGGGGGGGGCTGCGCCCCCCCCAACCCCCCCGCTTCTTTTAAGCTGTACCAAGCGTGCTTCAAAGCCCAAGAAACTAGTTGAAAAACATCGTGTGTGCATTGTGTTTGCAAATGGGGGGGGGCTGCGCCCCCCCCAACCCCCCCGCTTTTTTTAAGCCGTGCAGAGCGTGCTTCAAAGCCCAAGAAATTTGTTGACACCCATCATGTGAGCAGGGTGTTTGCAAATGGGGGGGGGGGCTGCGCCCCCCCAACCGCCCCCCCGCTTCTGTTAAGCCGTACCAAGCGTGCTTCAAAGCCCGAGAAACTAGTTGAAAAAAAAGTATGAATCCGATGAAAATATAGAGGGAATGATAGAAACCAAGAAAACGAACCAAATAGGGTTTTCCCTAGGACAAACTAAGGAAAAGCAACGTGCGCTTTGACGTTTGACGAAATCCGTCCAAAATGTAATCAGAAGAGGGTTTCCTTAGGAAAAACCAACGAAAACCTCGTTTTTTTTTCAAGCCGTGCAGAGCGTGCTTCAAAGCCCAAGAAACTTGTTGACGCCCGTCATGTGAGCAGGGTGTTTGCAAATGGGGGGGGGGGAGAGGTGTTTTCCCCCAACCCCCCCCGCTTCTTTTAAGTCGTACCAAGCGTGCTTCAAAGCCCAAGAAACTAGTTGAAAAGCATCGTGTGAGCATTGTGTTTGCAAATGGGGGGGGCTGCGCCCCCCCCAACCCCCCCGCTTTTTTTTGTTTTTTAAGCCGTGCAGAGCGCGCTTCAAAGCCCAAGAAACTTGTTGACACCCATCATGTGAGCAGGGTGTTTGCAAATGGGGGGTGGCTGCGCCCCCCCCCAACCCCCCCTGCTTCTTTTAAGCCGTACCAAGCGTGCTTCCCAACCCAAGAAACTAGTTGAAAAACATCGTGTGAGCATTGCAAATGGGGGGGGCTGCGCCCCCCCCAACCCCCCCGCTTCTTTTAAGCTGTACCAAGCGTGCTTCAAAGCCCAAGAAACTAGTTGAAAAACATCGTGTGTGCATTGTGTTTGCAAATGGGGGGGCTGCGCCCCCCCCAACCCCCCCGCTTTTTTTAAGCCGTGCAGAGCGTGCTTCAACCTAAGGGGAAATTACAGGAAATCCGTCCAAAATGTAAAAAAATAGGTTTTTCCCTATGAAAAACCAACGAAAACCTCAGGGAAATGACAGAAAATCCGTCCAAAATGTAAGGAAAGTAGGGTTTTTCCTAGAGAAAACCAAGGAAATCGACCAAAAAAAAAAAAAAAGACCCCCCCCCAAAAAAAAAGACCCAAAAAAAAACTCCACCCGTAAAAAAATCCCCTTATTATTAACTTATTCTAGTCCCGAAAGTTAACCTTTTGTTCCCCTAGGTACTGGACAACTAGGAACATTCGTCATGTTCTATACCAAAAGTGTTGGACTGACTCGAGACGCTGAGGCGATTGGAGCAACAGCACCAGCAAATGGCGCAGCGGTGGCGACGTGGCTTACTTCAGCCATGTGCGAGGAAGGGTTGCAAAAGAGGAATCACTAGTAGTTCATGGGCACATGTCTAATACAAGGGGTCGGAATAAATAGTTACCAGGGTTTTTCCCGTAGGATCCCTTTATAATTCTACTATATACAATTCCCCCCCCAAAAAAATAAAAGACCTATTCCAATTATTAAGGCCCCTATACTAGTCGGGAGTAGGGAGCCGGGCAATGACTACCATTTTCATTTCCAAAGATATTGGCCAGATTCGAGAAGCTGAGGCCATTGGAGCAATGGTGCACGCAAATGGCACAGCGGTGGCGACGCGGCTTACTCCCGTGCGCAAGGCAAGGAGGGGTTGCAAAAACTACGTGCACATGTGGGGGACCCTAAACCCTAAACCCTAAACCCTAAACCCTAAACCCTAAACCCTAAACCCTAAACCTGGTCCTCATCTGGGGTCACGTGTGATGCACGCGGACAGATTCGGGAAGCTGAGGCGATTGGAGCAACGGTGTGAGCAAATGGCACAGCGGTGGCCATGCAGCTTACTTCCGTGGACAAGGAAAGGGTTGCACAAACATGCAAAACCACCTTGGGAACGACAGGAACCCTAAAAAGGGCTTATGGTTCGTATACCTTAGTAGGAATGATCGTGGTATAGGCCCCCAAGTTTAAGGTCCATGTGGTCCCCAAGGCAGTAGTTAATCACGTGCACATGTCGGGGTCTTCCGTTCCTCATCTCGCGGCACGTTTGATCCTGAGTAGAAACTGGGCAGTGCCAACATGGTACAGTTGCCTATGTTGATGTCAGCTGATGCAACTGACTGAGCCTGCATTTTTTCAGATGATGGTTACTACGGTTACCAGAGCCAGTGCTACAAGAGAAGCAGGAACGACGAAAGCGCCCAGCCGTGAAATTTGGCAGCTTGCTTTGTGCCCTAAACCCTCAACCCTAAACCCTAAACCCTAAACCCTAAACCCTGAACCGTCTCTTGTAAGTGTCGCATGGTGTTGCTGGCTTCTTGGGGTTGTTTCGCAGTGAGCTCTTTGTGTTTGGGAGGGGGGGACTCTTTGAGCTCTTGTTTTCTACCGGGTTCGTTCGCGTGGGGAGTGAGTGGGAGGGTTTCCGAAGCAATGCTTACCTAGCCAACTGTTGAACTTTAAACGTTTTGGGCTTGCTCAGTTAGTAGGAATAATAAAGTTTAACCTTTCTTCCCTTGGTTCGTGGACCCTAATTCCTAATTCCTAAACCCTAAACCCTAAACCCTAAACCCTAAACCCTAAACCCTAAACCCTAAACCCTAAACCCTAAACTAAGGTGCCAGCATGTGCGTCGTGATAGATGATGATGACGACAGTCACGAGAGCCAGCGCTGCAAGAGAGCCAGAACGGATGAAAGCCCCTCTGCCAGTGAAGTTTAGGGTTTAGGGTTTAGGGTTAGGGTTTAGGGTTTAGGGTTTAGGGTTTAGGGTTTAGGGTTTAGGGTTTAGGGTTTAATGTTTATAGCTTAGGGTTCAGGGTTTATGGTGTAGGGCATTGTGTTGCTGGATTCTTGGGTTTTTTGCACATGGTCTGTTTGGGGAGTGTCTGTTAGGGGCGCGGGGGTGGGGTGGGGGGGGGGGGGGGTGTGGGGGTTGGAGCGAGATGGGTTTAGGGTTTTGGGTTTTGGGTTACAGAGTAATCTCAACAACCAAGGTGCCAACACCCTTGTGGTGATAGATGATGAGTACGGCGGTCACGCGAGCCAGCCCTACCAGAGAACCAGAGCAGATGAGGGCGCCCCGCCGGTTTAGGGTTTAGGGTTTAGGGTTTGGGGTTTATGGTTTAGGGTTTAGGGTTTAGGATTTAGGGTTTAGGGTTTATGGCATGACTTTGCTCGGGCTGGTGACTCAGTCGTTCCTGTTGGGGGGGGGGGGGGGGCGTATCATGTCGCTGGTTTCTTAGGGTCGTAGGTTTGGTTCGCATGGTGAGAGAAACAGTCCCGATGTGTGTGTGTGTGTGTGTCGGGCACGAAGAAGTTGGGTACGCAGCCCTAAACCCTAAGCCCTAAACCTTAAACCCTAAACCCTAAACCCAAATGACATGCCTTGTCCTGCCCAGTCTGCGGCAACTTGAGTAGCGGTGGCATGCCTTCCCTCCGTGCACCAGGAGGGGTTTCCAAAGCAAGGAGAAATTTTACCTTGGGAGTAGTCTGCATGCAGGTTTAGGGGTTCATTAGGTTTAGGGTTTAGGGTTTTAGGGTTTAGGGGTTAAGTAGGGAGTGGGTTAGGGGAGTTGTGCAAAACGAGCCCAGACAGCGAGGCTGGTACGACAGCTCAACCCGGAACGATGGTGTCTTGGCAGTTCTTGGACCTGCGCAGGGTAAGGGTCATCAAGATTGTCTGCATCCATGTCATAGCCACCCTAAACCCCAAGCCCTAAACAAACCCTGAACCCCGCACCACTGTAAATGCCCTCAACCCTAAAGCCCATAACGTTAATCTGCCAATCCCCTAGAATCTGCAAGATCAAGCCAACTGCTACACGGTGGTGTGGTGGCTTCGGCTAGCCATGTGTAGCAGAATATAGGGGTCCAACGCAATCTTACGGCTTAAGGCGTCGGCAGCAGCATGGTGACAGTAGCAGTCCCCGTGTGTGTCGAGTTGGGTACGCAGCGATATTGACCCATTTCTGACATGCCTTGTCCTGCCCAGTCTGCGGCAACTTGCGCAGCGGTGGCATGCCTTCCCTCCGTGCACCAGGAGGGGTTTCCAAAGCAATGGGAAATCATACCTTGGGAGTAGTTTGCATGCAGGTTTAGGGGTTCATTAGGTTTAGGGTTTAGGGTTTAGGGTTTAGGGTTTAGGGTTTAGGGGTTAGGGAGTGGGTTAGGGGAGTTGTGCAAAACGAGCCCAGACAGCGAGGCTGGTACGACAGCTCAACCCGGAACGATGGTGTCTTGGCAGTTCTTGGACCTGCGCAGGGTAAGGGTCATCAAGATTGTCTGCATCCATGTCATAGCCACCCTAAACCCCAAGCCCTAAACAAACCCTGAACCCCGCACCACTGTAAAATGCCCTCAACCCTAAAGCCCATAACGTTAACCTGCCAATCCCCTAGAATCTGCAAGATCAAGCCAACTGCTACACGGTGGTGTGGTGGCTTCGGCCAGCCATGTGTAGCTGAATATCGGCAGCAGCATGGTGACAGTAACAGTCCCCGTGTGTGTCGAGTTGGGTACGCAGCGATATTGACCCATTTCTGACATGCCTTGTCCTGCCCAGTCTGCGGCAACTTGCGCAGCGGTGGCATGCCTTCCCTCCGTGCACCAGGAGGGGTTTCCAAAAGCAAGGAAAATTTTTACCTTGGGAGTAGTTTGCATGCAGGTGTAGGGGTTCATTAGGTTTAGGGTTTAGGGTGTAGGGTTTAGGGTTTAGGGTTTAGGGGTTAAGTAGGGAGTGGGTTAGGGGAGTTGTGCAAAACGAGCCCAGACAGCGAGGCTGGTACGACAGCTCAACCCGGAACGATGGTGTCTTGGCAGTTCTTGGACCTGCTCGGGGTTTGGGGTTTAGGGTTTAGGGTTTAGGGCTTAGGGTTTAGGATGTTCTGCATCCATGTCAGAGCCACCCCAACCTAGATACACTCTGAACCCCTAAACCCTGGAACCCTAAACCTTAAGCCCTTGACCCCAAAGCCCTTTCCTAGTTCCCTCAACCCTGAAGCCTGAAGCACCTACAGTCCGGAGAATTGCGGCCAGGCGCCATGTGTAGCATGATATTGGGCTCAGGGTTTTAGGGTTTTAGGTCTTTAGGGTTTCGGGTTTAGGGTTTTAGGGTTTTAGGGTTTTAGGGTTTCAGGGTTTCAGGGTTTTAGGGTTTTAGGGTTTAGGGTATGGGGTTTAGTCGGAATCCTCGTTCTTCTATAGGGTGTTCTCCAGGGGAGAATCTTTGTAAGCACTTTTGCCCGTGGATTCAAGCCATTGCTCAGGTATCCGGCGCTGGTAGACCTTTGAACGGAGAATTACAGGAATTACAGATGCATCCATCTTTTAATGGAGAATCACAGACGGCGCAGTGCAAAATGGGAGCTCGTTGGAACCAACCTGTGCAAGGGCCCACCTACAAAAGCCCTGCTAGGATGCCCAATAGTACCCTTATTCCCTTTTTGGGGGGGGGTTTAGGTTCCCTTATAAACCCCTTTAAGCAAAAAAGGGCACCCTCTTTAAGCCTTGGTTCCTGGGCAGCCTAGCCTGAGGACTTAGTGTTTAGGGTTGACTTGCTAGCCCGGTGGTGCCTCTTTTCTGCCCGGTTTCACTTTTTTTTGGGTTCAAGGTTCCCTTCTAAAGTAACCAGCCCCAAACGGGTACTTTTCTCATAAGGATAGCCCTAAACCACAAACCCCAAACCCTAAACCCTAAACCCGAATGTGGTTACTGGGCTGCCAAGGGTTTAGGGTTTAGGGTTTAGGGTTTAGGGTTTAGGGTTTAGGGTTTAGGATTTAGGGTTTAGGGTTTAGGGTTTAGGGTTTAGGGTGTTCAGGGTCCCTTGGCAAACCTCCGAGGCTGTCTCTTCGCCTTGACGAAAGTCAGGGTTCGGGATCCGGGGCTTAGGTGAGTCTCTCCTGATCGCTTCCATAGAGGGACCGCAGTTATCCTAAACCCTAAACCCTAAACCCTAAACCCTAAACCCTAAACCCTAAACCCTAAATCCTAAACCCTAAACCCTAAACCCTAAAGATTTCTGGGGAACTCCTTTCCATGGAAACCAGCACCGGCTTCGTTTTTCAGAAGCTCGAGAAGCCCGGGCATTGTACGAAGGCTTCCGGCCGCCCCTGTTTTTCTCACCATAACACACAGGGTTCAGGTTTTAGGGTTTAGGGTTTAGGGTTTAGGGTTCAAGGTTTAGGGTTTAGGGTTTAGGGTTTAGGGTTCAAGGTTTAGGGTTTAGGGTTTAGGGTTTAAGGTTTAGGGTTCGGGTTTAGGGCTTTGGGCTTTGGGGCTTTGGGCTTTAGAGCTTTGGGGCTTTGGGGCTTTGGGGCTTTAGGGCTTTAGGGCTTTAGGGCTTTAGGGCTTTAGGGCT